CAATGCCTGTGCCAGCACAACACATGAAAGCACGCACTATGTGCATCAGTGCACTGCAGTGCCATTCATTCTCAATTGCACCCCATCTATTTGTCCTAGAGTTCTGCTTTAAGTCTCTGCCCTGGGACATCATGACTCAGGAGTTCTGACTTCACTTGCTGCATGCTTGTGCCAGGTCTGTGCATTGAAACATATTAACGTAATTCAATCAGTGTGACATCCTGGTGAATGCAGGGAAAGCCTATAATGAATCTCGGTACGCTGGTTTTTTGCAAGCTGTGGCGGCGTCCACACTCTGGAGCTAAAATTCGAACTTCCTCCTGTGACCCCCAACAGATTTTATGTTATTCCAAATAACCGGTTTATGAGATCCAGACCGCCGGTTTACACACACGCATTGCGCAGTGATGTTACCCTAAGCTCAGTATACCGTGGTATACTGAGACGCCGCTGCCGGAGAGGATCCCGACATCGATGTCGAGATCCGCCCAGCTGCGTGAGTAACAGCTGGCTCTGCCTATCTAAAGGCAGAGCCAGCTGTACCCGCCCCCTCCCCCGTCCGTTCCGCCAGTCAGCGCTGGTGGATCGGAGCGGGGAGGGGGGAATCCAGCCCACCCCCCTGTCACGGCAGAGAGCTGTGACAGGATCGACAGGGTGAGCGAACGACGGTATGTGTTCGCTCACCTCCCGATCTACTGAGGCGACCTGTGACAGTCTTATTATCACAGGTCGGCTAGAACTATGAGGTGAGTGAAAAGCACTCACCTCATAGTTCTCCTTTAATGAACTCCCGTCTCTCTACAGTCGCGGCAGAAATCGAGTTTTTATAAAAATCTGAAGTATCAGCTACGAGATCTGCAATGTGCCAACGCCGAGAGTCAAACTGCAAACTTCCTGCAAACTAGAGAAAACAGAGACAACACTGAAAGAGGCAGCGAGGGGACTTCCTGCCACAGAGAGAGGAAACTCAATGGCTAAATATATCATCGTAATAATATTTATCTAATTTATAAAAAATACCGCAAATGTGTGGGACATCCTATACTTATCGCTGAACTCCGCCCACAAAACACTTGCATCCAAAAATATTCCTCATTAGCCACATAGGATATAAATCTTCTGTGTGTGCACCTAATTCCCCGATATTACCTTGCAGCTCCACCCACTACAGGAGGGGGGCAGAGACGAGACCAGTCACCCTGCACAAGGAAAGAGAGCAGCAGTGAGCGGTCTTTATTACAGGATTACTGCACAGATCTGGAAGAAATACACAAAGCTCACCAAGATTCCAGGAAGAATACACAGGACTCTGGAATGTACAAAATGTTTTGTTCTTTGGATATCATAGGAAAGACTTATGTTTCCTGTCCAGTTTTTTGGTCCCTTTACACTTTTGCGATCTGTTACAGTGCAATACCACACACACATTACCGTGTGCATTCAATTCCCTTCTGTTAAGGCCAGAGTAGGCAGCCAGCTATGGTGGAACTACAAATCCCATGATGCCTTCGTCCCTAGGAGTCATGCCTACGGCTGTCAGACTATTGCAATGCCTCATGGGGCTTGTACAGTAATACCTTGGTTTACAAGTAACTTGGTTTGAGAGCGTTTTGCAAGACAAGCAAACATTTCTGAAAAATTTTGCCTTGATATACAAGCAATGTCTTGCAAGAAGAGCAAAATTTTGTAGAAAAGCTCCACCTGAAATAAGGCTGTAGCAGTGCGAGCGATGAGTCTGTTTAACGACAATGCAATGTCACATTGGATAGATTCCTTGTTAAGGTTTCACGAAATGAAAAAGATCCCATTGAGCCAAGAGATAGCAGTGATTCCGTTAGTGATAGTGAAAGTTGTCCTACACAATAATCCTCCTCTCTCTTGTCCCCCTCACACCAGCCACGAAGGTACCTGTAATTGGTTTATTTTTCTTTATATTTTGTACAGTATTATGTTACAGTACAGTATTGTAATGAATATTTTGGGGTTGTGGAACGAATCATCTGACTTTCCATTATTTCCTATGGGCAAATTTGCTTTGATATACAAGCGCTTTGTATTACAAGCATGCTGCCCGAACAAATTATGCTCGTAAACCAAGGTATTACTGTAGTTCCACCACATTTGAGGCGCTGAGGTTGACTACCCCTGGGTTCAGCAGCCCGTTCATTTTGATTTGGTTGCCAATGCACCACAGGTTTTTGTTTTTTTTGTCTGTGTCCCCACTGAAATTATTTGCTATCACTTCCTGTCCTGACAGGAAGTACCGACAAATCTCCATAATAGAGATAAAGGTGGCGATAAAAATTTGTCTGCAACCCCTTTCACACTCTATCCAGAAAGTAAAATGGCTGGGTTGGGAGAGAAACTACTAGTCGTGGGTCCATTGTATTGAAAACAGGAGGGGGTTACTGCTGTGGAGGAGTCTATACTCAAGAGTGGCGGGGTCAGTGTTCTGGAGGGGGAGGAGGCTCTGCTCTGGCTATTTCAGCTCTGTGGGTAAAAACCACCTTGAGCTACTGAGCTCTGTAAGAGACAGAATTTCCTTCCACAGCAAATAAGGAGAGCCTGGAGAGAAAAAGAACCAAGAGCACCACCTGCTGACTGGATATGAGAAGACAAATTTGCCATAGGAAATATTTCATATGTGTTCAATGCTGACCATGATAAATGAATAGAAAATACACAAAATTATCAGCCAATCCCTTCAAAGGGAACCTGGCATGACAGCTGTTACCTGGCACATGCAAGGCTCCCATCCAGCACTGCAGGCCACCATGGTCCACTTCCAGTATTAGGGCTGCGTCCATGGCACAGCACACAGGAGCTTTCATAGAGATGTCCCTTCCCTGCAGCAAGAACCACGTCCAGGAATTGTGCTACGGCAGCCAGACAGAAAGGTCATATCAATACGTACACAGCCTCGTGTATGCCGAAATCTGTCCAGTTATCAATTGTAAGCAATGCCAAAAATCAGATCTATCATTTTATATAGCTCTGACATATACTGTAGTGCTGTACAGAGAACACTGAGCCAGTCATATAAGTCTGTGCACCAGAGGAGCTTACACTCTAATGTCCCACCATAGTCACACACAATGATTAAATATTTTTCTAGCTCTGACAGCTGCGGGGTGACAGCTCTGAGTCTATTGAGATCACATCCAAGATGGCGGCACAAGGCAAATTTTTGTTCAACTTGAATGGCCTGGTGGCAGGTTCTCTTTAATTTCACCTCTCATTTGACCCCAATGCATTTAACCCAAAATGTTCTGATTTTTCACCAAAATTTCAGCAAAATATTGAATGTTTGGGTATTTGGACCGTGTTGGTGAAATCTCCACGCTGAGTTCCTGGCTCTGCACACCGGATGCAACCATCACTGCCATCATCCCGGCCAGATTCTCACCTATTTATTATATTGTGGTGAATGTGATGGACGGAGTGATAACACACAAGGTGGGAAGGAAGAGAACCAAGCTATGGCAATGGGATCTCAGTGCCTTGTATGATGATATCACCTGAAGTCTGACTTGTGGGTGGATCATGTCAGGGAAGATGTAAGGGTGGTGGTGGTAGTGTTGGGGGGGGTGGGTGGTGGTGGTAGTGTTGGGCAGATGGGTGGTGGTGGTGGGTGGGTTGGGTACATTAGGCACAAGCGGTTGGAAAACCGGCAGAGTTCAATGATACAACCCAGTTGCTGTACGCAGAATTTAGTTGAAGGGTGTTGTTTGCATATATTCAGTAAGTGGGGTGAAGGGTATACAGGGGGGTCTCTGGGTGAACATGGGAGGTGGCTGCCTCTGGGTGGACATGGGAGATGGTCATCTCTAGGTGAATATGGGAGCTGGGCATCTCTTAGTGAATATGTAAGGTGGGCCTCTCTAGGTGATCATGGGAGGTGGCATCTCTTGGTGAATATGTAAGATTAGTGTCTATGGGTGAATACATAAGGTTGGGCATCTCTGGGTGAATACATAAGGTTGGGCATCTCTGGGTGAATACGTAAGGTGGGCATCTCTAGGTTAATACAAGAGGTAGGCATCACTTAGTAAATTCAGAAGGGGGTCTCTAGGTGAATACAAGGAGAACTCTTAGTAAATATGGGGGGGTTCTCTGGGTGAAAACAGAGGGGTGGCTTTCTGGGTGAATATAGGGGGTCCCTGGGGGAATATGGGAGGGATCTCTGAGTGAATGCAGGAGAGAGTTCCCAGGTGAATAGTCAATACAAGGGACGGTCTCTGAGGGAATAGTTTTTTTGGGTGAACACAGGGGAAAAATCTCTGGGTGAATAAATATATACATACATAGGGTTTCTGGGTGAACACAGGGAAAGATCTCTTGGTACTTACAGAGGGGTCACAGGGTGAATACAAGGGAAGATCTCTGTGTGAATACCGAAAGTTCACTGGGTGAATACAGGGGAAGCTCTCTGGGTGAACACACAGGAGTCTGTAGGTGAATACAGCGAAAGCTCTCTGGGTGAATACACATGGGTCTGAGGTGAATGCAGGGAAAGCACTCCGGGTGAATATACAGGGGTCTGTAGGTAAATGCAGGGGAAGGTTTCTGGGTGAATACACAGGGATTTCTTGTTCAATGCAGGATAAGATTTCTGATTGAATACAGAGGGATCTGTAGGTGAATACAGTGAAAGATCTCTGGGTGAATATAGAGGGCTCTCTTCGTAAAAACTGGGGAGGGTCTCTGGGTGAATACAGAGGGGGCTCTGGGTGAACACAGGGTAGGGTCTCTGGGTGAACACAGGGTAGGGTCTCTGGGTGAACACAGGGTAGGGTCTCTGGGTGAATACAGGGGAGGGTCTCTGGGTGAATACAGGGGAGGGTCTCTGTCCTCCGGTGATCGGTGCTCCGCTCTCATTCAGCACAATAGGCAACTGACAGGCAGCCGGACGGACGGACAGACGAGCTGGGGGAGGCGGCGCTGCAGCAGGGGGAGGGGGAATCTCGGAGGAGGATAGAGAGGATGGAGAAGCTGCAGAGCCGGCAGCACACAGCACATTGTTAGGGCCCCAGTGGCCCCCGGCTCCGGCCATGTGAAGGACGATGCTGTACTGGAAATGCCCCCGGAGCCGCTGCCCGCTGGGCGCCTCCGCCCTCACCGTGTCCGTCCTGTGCTGGATCTTCATCTACCCGACCGAGCGCAGCCCCGACTATGCCATCTCCACTGTATATACACATATGTAATATATATTGAGCAGGACATATTTAGGTACCCCCTATTTAATATATACTTCTTATAGATAATGTATACTCACCTTCTCTATATAAACCCTTATATCATATAAACCCCCTATGCTGATTCATTCCCAGGGATGGTAGAGCAATAGGACCAAGGGTGGCTAATCAGAGCTCAGCAGAGGAGGGGCCTGAAGGAGAAAGTTCTCTATCAGGTCCCCCCATGTTCATTGACAGCAGGCGGGTGCAATAGCCAGCTTGCTATTGACTATTGCATTTTACAATATCCAATAGCAGGCTGCGTATGACTCCCAGCCTGCAGACAAAGTGGAGGCAGGGGGGAGGGGAAGAGGAGCCGCGGCCGGACCGAAGAAGAGAAGCCGCCGGACCGCCGGGACAGCGAGCGGACGGACCAGGGGACTGGAGGCCGGGACAGCGAGCGGACGGACCAGGAGGCTGGGACAGTAGCGGAGGTAAGGGGGGCAGTACACAGTATTTATTACATGTACCGGCAACTGTATGGGGGTCGAAAATTTGACCCCCATACACTTGCATTGAGTTCAAGTTCGTATTCGAACATTTCGGCCATTCGAATGTTCGAATACGAACCGAACAGGGGGGTGTTCGGCTCATCCCTAGTCCTGAGCAGGAAGCATGGTGCTGCCTCAGATACCCCCTCCTTCCCATACACACACACATGCTCTGTCCTTAAACTCTAGTCTGTTGGACAAACGGGACACTTTTTAAGGTGTAAGAACAAGTTCTCCAAACACAACCAATACACACTTCCTTTAAGAACCATAGTAGAACTAGTGTACCCAACACCCTCAAAAACGTGTCTTTTGACAGTATATAGGAGCTTATAGTAAAGTTTGCATTCAGAAGGAATGGAAAGATCCATAGATTTTGTTTTTTTTTGGGTGGCTACACACAGGAAGACAAATTCAAACTCCTACACGTCACCCCAACGATGGAACCAGCCCAAGAAAATCAGTTCCTTCCTAGAAAGGCTTATAGGTTTTCTCTAATGCCAATTGTTCGACATCTCCATTGTAGGTATGGATGCCACCTGGGTGGTCTGTAGATCAGATTTCCTACCAGGGGTCGCATACTGGAGTCCATCTGCATTTTAAGTTACAACTGCAACAATGTGGAACTTCTCATCAGAGGTGTATTAGACCTTCATGTCGAGTGTTCACTTGTAGGACTTCTTGTCATATAATGGCACTTGTGACACTCTGTCCAGAAGTCGGTCCAGGACCCAGATCACTTCTGTCACCTTCTAGCCCAGGTGCCCAACCTGCAATCCCAGCGCCACATGTGGCCCTTTGATAATGAGGGCCTTTGCAGATCCCAGCAGCCAGTAATGTAAATAGGATCTCTAGCAGTCTCATGTAGCATGTCCCCAGACGTTCTCTGTCTCCTGTAGTACATCTTCATTTCCCAACCACCCCTGATGCATGTCTGCTGTCTCTGATCATCTCCTCTTGTATGTATGAATTCTCTGACATTAATCTGTCATACTGAATACTGAATATTATGTCCGGCCTTTAGGAGCTGTTAGGGGCCACAGTTCATGCCCCTTACACCTTGTAAGTTGAAAACTACTTCCTTACAACATACCTCTATGGCCATAAAAGTTATATTGCCCAGAGTGCCTCAGCTCTTTCTGTTCTGATAAGTCTCTTCAGTTCCATACGTCCTTATACAGTGTAGTATATACATCTGTAGACTGGCCTATAGTAACCCTTTTAATGCTAAATCCCTCTACCGCAGACCCAGCATCTCTCTCCATTACCCTTTCTCCTCCATAAAGGGGACAACCATGGAGTGTCCATTGTCGGAGGCCGCCATATATAGTGACATAGGTTAAAAGGGACACATGTCCATTTAATGGAACCAAAATTTGGTCCAATTTAATGAACAAAGGCAAGATCTTCAAAATACTAAACCCAAAGTTGTTCCTGTGCAGCGCAGAAAACTCCTGATCGACTAAGGCAGTGATGGCAAACCTTTTTGAGCCCGAGTGCCCAATCCGTGTTACTGAATCAACATATGTGTCTCACAGTGCCAACCCTGCAATTAGACCTGAATACTGATGATTTGTTTTAGAAAAACACTTCATAGTGCTAGGGAACAATCTCTCTACAGCTTGGAGTCAGTGGTGGAGCACCAGAGCCCATTTGCAGGTGCAGCTGCGACTACTGTGACCCTGGTAGTTCTGCCACTGACTCCAACCTGTAGAGGAAATAATCTCAGCAATACATTATATAACAATGCAGAATACCGCCAACTATAGAGGACTACATATCCCAGCAATACATTATACAGCAATGCAGAATACCGCCTACTATAAAGGACTACATTTCCCAGCAATACATTATGCAGCAATGCAAAATAACACCAACTATAGAGGACAACAAATCCCAGCAATATATTATACAGCAATGCAGAATAATATGAAACCACATACTCCGTGTTGCTCCGGGGAGGCAGCCTGATGTCTCCAGGGGTCTCTGAAGGGCTCTGTGGGCTTTTTAGGTGGGCTGTATGGGCTCTCAGGGGGGCTGTGCGGCTCTGGGGTGGTCTGTACGGGCTCTCAGGGAGGCTGTGCGAGCTCTGGGGGGGCTGTGCAACTTTCAGGGGGGCTGTACAGGTCTCTCCGGTATCCGCAGCGTCTGGAGGGCAGCTGCGTCTCTCTAATTAAAATAGGTCTGACCATCCCGGATCGCCTCTGTGTGATCCGGGCTGGTCACAATTAGGCAGCGGTGACCTCTAAACAGGCATATTATGCCTGTTTGGAAGCCGCAGCTGCCTGATTGTGACCATCCCGGATTGCTTACCGAGGTAATCCGGGACTAGTGCGCTCTCACCCCCAGCGCCAGCACCACGACACAAAGCAGCAGCCGGTAGCTAGCACACGATCCCCGATGACAGGAGGAAGACTTCCGCGTCACGTGACGGCCCTCAAGCAGCAGTGTATTTAGCTTGCTACGCCGGTCTCAGCTAATCTGCCGCTCCAGGCAAACGCCTTGTTTGCCTCGCGGCAGATATGCCCCTGACCACTGTACTAAGCTATAGACACTCTCTGGATCAATAATCCGCGTTATTTGTTACAGATATTAGCAGGCAGGTAAATTTTGTTCATTGTGAAGCACATCCTGGGCTTTTTTTCGAAGAAGGCTAGAACTAGCTTGTTATGACAGGCAGCTCTTACTGTAGAGAAGCCATTCCCTATGCAGAGAATGAAGCTCTCTTCCTCCAGACACAGAGTACCCCATTGTCTTTTAGGATGACCTAACAGTGAACAATGGTAAACTGCTTTACTAACAAAAAAGAGGAAAATGGCTACAAAGGAGTCTGGGGCTGTGAAGGTACCACAACGAGTACAATTGTATATACATTTAGTAAAAAAACGTTTTTATTTGTAACAAATATAAAACATGTTTAAAAACATTAGGCCATCACAGATTGGTTATGCATAACAGGTATGTGATCATAGTCCTCAAGTTTGGATGAACAAAGAGTCTCAATAGGCTCTATGTGTTTCGTAGGTAGATGCTTCCTCAGGAGCCTTTAGTGGAGATCTATGGTTCAACAAATCATACATATCATACATATAAACCAAAAACCTATTACATTTCCTTAAATAATGTTCCTCTATCAATATATATTTCAGTAACACCTGGAGGGTGTATAAATACAGTGAGATGAAAAAATCTTGAATACAACCATATAAATGAGCAAAGATAGTAGTAAAGATTTAGCCCAACTTGCTATGCAATCCAAAAAGATGGCCACAAACAAGATCCAAATAGAAGTCCATGTGGGCTTTCCAGGGAGACCAGGGACAGGTTAAAGCCACGCCACAGTGAACCTTTGTCTATATGTGTTATATTATATGTACATTAGTATAAAAACATATCAGAGTAGGATATATAGTCCACAGACTAGAGGTCACTCCCCACTCAAAGGTGGACAAGGAGTATACACCCAAGGCAGCCTCAAAAATTGTTGTACATGCTGGTATATAGGGAAAGAGGTTAAAGATCCAGTACATTGTATGTCCTCAGCATAGATTCCCAGCATGAGGCCACACATATGTTCTGCCTGCAATCCTCTATAGAGTGAAAAAAAGTATAGTGAGAATTTCTAAATATACGTTTCTAATCTACTGGTGGCATCTCTTACCCTTAGGTCTCGTTCCTGGGCATCCCACACTGAGAAGTGACAGGCGGCATCGGGAGTCCTGCTCCCTAATAAGTCCCCTCGGAAGTACGCGCAGCATCACACGTGGAAACATGCGTGACGTCATGCGTTGTTCACACGTCCGAGCGTCAATTTGCAGACATGTGACCCCGCCCATGGAGGACATGCCTCCACAGAACCTGGCCATGTCCAGAGCACCGAGGCGGAGGCAGCCGTCTCCGCCCCCTGGGTAAGCCACCAACAACAAGTCCTTCATCCCAACCCACCCCACAGGCTGGTGGTGGAGGTGGGGTGGTTCAGGGGAAGGAAAACAGGGAGGAAAGGAGAAAAGGGCAGAAGAGGAGATGAAGCAAACCCCCCGGGGCAAGCAATAAGTCAAGGGCACCCTGACCAGGCGGAATGAGGGGAATCCCCACCAGTGCCCCACTCCCAACCACCGTGGTCATAATGAATAGAGCCCATGCATCAGGCAAGCACATCCCACTCCGACATGGTACAAACCATGTCGGGGTGGGACCCAGTCATGGCCATCCATCATCAACACAGCAAGAGGGACAAAAGTATCTAGTTACATAATTCATACCGTATATGGCCATCACAGATGTACCCAATGGCCCATATCTCTAGTACAGAATTAAAAACACAAACACAGAACAAATAACCATGGCAGTTGTACCCTAGTCCATTAATAACTGGATTGCCTAAAATGAAGTTGTACATATGTGATATAATCCAATCATGTCACAAATATAGCTTTATTCTATACATAAGTCTCAATATTCAAGATAGCCCAAATAGTTGGGTATTTACTCGTTGTAAACTACTCAAAGCAGGAATTCCTAGTAACTCAATAGTCACAATAAAGGACGGGTTTGTAACTAAGAACTTCTTTTAAACCTGGTGGATTTGTGTCCACCCCTGGATTTTCCTGGCCCTAGCCTAAACGACCCCGATAGGTTCTGCCACAGGCGAGTTAGGCGGCTGCGAGGCCCCCGTGAGGGCGAGGCCTTAGGTGACCGCCTAACTCGCCTAATTAGAGAGCCGCCTCGGCCTGGAGGTAGTGGGAGCTACCAAATATGAAAGTATTACTTTGTAGTATGTGTCTTGGCAGTTGAAGAATGCAGTTATTATAGGGCCATAGTGTAGTGGATCGCTCATCCGGAAAAACCTTAATTGTATGGAATCCTATGTTGTGTTATAGAGGGCTTCGATATCAATAGCCACCAACCATGTATTCAGGGTTGTGATGGACTACAATCTCAATACAAACTAGTAGTCCCATCACTGGAGCCATTTTTAAAAATGTATTCTTTTATTTTTTTATCCGATTAATTGAACTTAATAATCGGCTAACTAATCGATTTTGAAAATAATCGTTAGCTGCTGCTCTATATTTGGCCAATAAGCTTTGCCTGTCCTAGGCTGCCATAATCTCTTCTTGAACGGCAGACATAATCTGGAGATGGACTTTCTGCAAAGTTACATCTTTTGTAAATTGTTGGTTTTTGTCCTCTTTGTTGCAGCTTGATAGTTTGCTCTTTGACATCTCCCCACTTTTTACTACAGTATTTGTTACATTGTATTCCGCAGATGCAACCTTCCATGTTAAACATTTATAAACAAGAGGAGTATGCTGGAAAATATTATTTTTTTGTTATAATTGTTTTTATATTAATATTATCATTATGATTACTGTTATTCTAAGAACAATAATATTAGTATTACTCTATCTTCTTATGTTGCTTTGTGAGTGATCACACTTCTTGTCGGCTGATGTTGTACTGCATCATGGAGTAGGCCTGTGCGTGTGGTACCCGGCCTACATCCTTCCTGCATCCTCCCCCAAACACAAAGCATCATCCTTATCTCAGACTGACCCTCCCCATAAACCTCACCCCTCTCCCATTGTCTTGTCTTCCCTGTCACTGTAATTCATAGCCCATCCCCCTCCCCCCGTTTGCAGGGCTTCTGCATAGTATAAGACAGGACGGTGCATTGAATGATATATGGTGGGGGGCAGATGGAGCACATTGTATCCCTCAGGATGGACAGATGGGAGCAGCGAGGAGACATAAGGTGGGGTGCCCATCCAGGACCCCATGTACACCGCCCCCATTCCCGGTTATCTGGCACTCATCATCTCTAACCGGCCCGTCACTTTGTATGACTGTCACTGCTGACACGCGGCTCGTGTAGTGACAATGACAGATAAAATGATGATTTATTACATGTAATTGGCTTTCTTCCGTCAGGAAGTCCGGGAGAGATTCTGCGAGGCTTCCCGATTATAATCAGATTAGCGCAGAGGATTCCGTCACATTGTCTGCAGATTATTTGTCTCCTTTATTGTTGAAGGATTTATAAACGGCTCAGGTCAGCACACATTAGCGGACTTCAGGCTCCAATCACAGGGCTGGGATACTTCTTATCAATAAAAGTGACAGTTCCAGCTGAGTCCAATGAGATGGAAGGATATGGTCACATGGCTAAAGCCGTGCTTAATCTGGCCATACCCATGCAGCTGAACCAGAGAAAATCGATCGAATCCCCATCCACGCTAAGCAGAAGGAATCTCCATTGCTGGCTATTGTATTCTGGGAGGCGGAGCCCGTGGCTATCTGCATCCCGGAAAGTGACTGCAGCCGATCAGCCGCTAATTTTCTGCCCATTGCTTTTGATTTTTTTTCATTCCAAGTTGTGGGTGGTGCCCGCAAGACCACGCACAGCTCGATTGTCAGCCGCCTCAGCGTCTATAACCAACACAAGAGAAGCTGGTCCCGGGGCAGCGGAGCCCGGGATGCACGGCGGGGGTGTTGGGCCCAGAGAAGCGATCGGGCGACAGCTGAGTCGCCTGATTGCTTCTATTGTAATATTGTAAAGCCGACAGTCGGCTTTACAATTGTAAACAGACTCCCGGCATCTTTAGCCGCCAGGAGTCTGTTTAAACGGGCCCGGTGCCAGTGACGTACTATGGACGTCACTGGTCATAAGGGGTTAAAAGCGCATTTTTGCCCCATAGACTTTAATGGAAACGCCAGAAAACGCGCGGCAGAAACATGTTGCACATTTACGTGTGCTTTTTAAATGCGGGTTCATCCATTGCCTTTAATGTTTCATAAGCTGCCAGTCAAGATGCTCCTCTTCATCTTCATGTACGTGCATACAAACGCGCATCAAAATGTGCACAAGGCGCATAAACAAACAAATAACCGCACGCTGAACACGCACATACAAACGCGCAAAAATGGTGCCACATAGGTGTGAACCCGGCCTTACTGTTCTAAAACTTTTCTTTATTGAATCTCTGCTCACCAAACCGCTAAGGCTGCAAAGACTTAGGCCTCATTCACACAGCGTAGAGTGGGGCTGTGCAGATCCGTGCGGTGTGCATGGCCGTATTGGGCCGTTCCCTGGAAGGACAGGTGCTGCGTGTGATTGTACGCAGCAGTCTGTTCTTCTCTATGGGAGCACGCAGTCGTGCGCTCACCCTAGATAAACACCCAATGCGGGTGTCTTTATTAGGGCGCAGGCAGAATCGATCCTGTCTGCGTCCGAGCGCGGACACCCGCACAGACGTGCAGGTCGGGTGAGCGTACAACGGTGCATGGCTGCGTCCTCCCATAGAGAAGAAAAGGCTGCTGCGTACAATCACACCTTCCCGGGAACGGCCCGATACGGCCGTGCATGCCGCACGGATCTGGACGGGCCGACTCTTAAGCTGTGTGAATGCTCTCTTCTGTTTCAGTGATCTTATACAATAGAAGACAAAGAAGTATACAGATGCTGATTTCTGCTCTTGTTTACAGTCAGGCATTTACTACTTCAGAAAGGAGGTCATTACCCTTGGATTTTATGATGGGAGAAAGAGAGTTAAAGGAGAACTATGGGGTTAGGGCTTTTCCCCATAGTTCTCCTTAGGGTAACTGGAGGACACAAACTAGCTTCCTCCCGTCACCCTAGGCTCAGTATACCGCGAGCTACAGCTACTCCCAGAATCCAGCCACCTCCCCTGTCACGGCAGAGAGCTGTGACAGGATCGAGAAGTGAGTGAACGCCGGTATGTGTTCGTCACTTCCCGATCTACTGAGCCGACCTTTGACAGTCTCATTGTCACAGGTCGGCTCAGATTATGAGGCTGAGTGAAAATCACTCGCCTCATAATTGTCCTTTTAAGGTAGAGCAGGAATTGTAACAAATACACAAGAACAGAAAATGTGTTTTTTTAGGTGCCAAAAAAAAATTTCTTTATAGACTCATGTCTGAATAAAAAACTGAATATTTCCATGTACATAAGGTGTTAAATACCACCAATCATATACTCTTGGTATATGGGACTCAACGCGTTTTGCGGTATTGCGTCTTCAGGAGTCCTATAAATCTACAAATTTGACAATTACAATATATTGCATATGTAAAATGCCGTATGTGCAAAATTTACATGTGTCAAACACTGTTTAAATATGTTTTCATTTTACTGCTCACCTACAAATCCAAAGATGCTGACCATGTCTGGCACCCGCAACAAGCAGGAACGGGAAGATAGACGTGAAAAACATTGAAAGAAGAGGCAGAACCGGGGGGTAAAGGACAGTGCCCACAATACCTAGATGAGGGCCTTCCGGGGAGACCAAGACAGAACACAATACCTATATGTAAAAACATGTCGTAGGAAAATTGTATATGGTAACTGATCCACAAATCATTTAATAACCCAAATATACACTATATTGGGACGCCGGCCTTTACACGCACATGAACTTTAATGGCATCCCAGTCTTAGTCCATAGGGTTCAATATTGAGTTGGCCCGCCCTTTGCCGCTATAACAGCTTCAACTCTTGTGGGAAGGCGTCCACAAGGTTTAGGAGTGTGTCTATGGGAATGTTGGACCATTTGTGAGGTCAGGTACTGATGTTGGAGGAGAAGGCCGGGCTCGCAGTCTCCGCTCTAATTAATCCTAGAGGTGTTCTATCGGGTTGAGGTCAGGACTCTGTGCAGGCCAGTCAAGTTCCTCCACCCCAAACTCCCCCATCCATGTCTTTATGGACCTTGATTTGTGCACTGGGGCGCAGTTATGTTGGAACAGGAAGGGGCCAGCCCCAAACTGTTCCCACAAAGGTGGGAGCATGAAATTGTCCAAAATGTCTTGGTGTGCTGATAACTTAAGAGTTCCTTCACTGGAACTAAGGGGCCAAGGCCAACCACGGGAAAACAGTCCTCTGTCATTGTCCTTAGTGGTGAGAAAAGTTGTTTTACATGCTAGTTTGTGAGTGTGCCACCACCATGCCTAACTGTAGGCAGAGTTTTCTTTTCAGCGTATGCTTCATTGTTGTCCTCCAGACATAACGCTGAGCCATAGGGCCAGAAAGTTCCATTTTTGTTTCATCGCTCCACAGAACAGAACCCCAAAACCTCTGTGACTCATTTATATGAGTTTCATCATATTGGAGGCGACATTTCCTGTGCTTTTGGGTCAGTAGTGATGTATGTCTAGAGTCCTGGCATGGAAACCTTCTGCTCCTTACTGTGCATACTGAAACCTCACTGCCTGACTGTTGCCACCAACAGGTCTTTTGCAGTCACTCGAGAGTTTTTCTCAACCTGCCATTCCGGAAATCTGGTTGCAGCCGTTGATAACTTCCTTTTTGTGCCCTGTCCAGGTAGAGCAACCACTCTTCCTTTTAACTTTGAATTTGAGAACTATGCTTCCAATGGTGTCTCTAGAAACATTCAGTTCCCCTGCTATCTTTTTGTAACCTGTTCCTTGCTTGTGAAAGGCAATGATCTCTTCTCAACTTTTTTGACTATTCTTTTGACTTGGGGCAGGTTCACACCATTCTACAGAACAGATCTGGAATGCAGTGCATTGCGTTTTTGCAATGGATTTACCGCGATTTTGCCATGTTTGGGAAAACATTTTTTTTATTTTTTTTTAGCTTAAAATAGTCTTGCTGGTGCGTTCCAGTGCGTTTTGATCTTTACTATGCGTTCCAATGCATTACAGACCAGACAAAATAAGACGAGCAGTATTTTTCTGGTCTGGTCTGGTCTGGAATGGACTGCGCTGGTGTGAGGCCAGAAATAGCATAGGGATACATTAGGATGCATTTTGGGTGCGGAAACAATCTGGTCTGGTCTGGAGATGATCCGGACATGGTGTGAACGGGCCCTCAGCCATATTTCTAACATGCAGTCAAAAGTGACACTCGGCAAACCCAGAGCCAGTTCATGGATGTCATGTGTTCTAGCTCAAGCACACCCGCTACAACTAATGAAGCCCTTGATCACTTGCACCAGGTGGGCTTGGGACAACCCCTGTTTTGCAGATGTGTGCTCTTGTGAGGGATTCTATTCAGGGGGTTGAATCATTTTGAGAATGCAGCAGTCATAAAAGTTGCATTTTCCGTTTGAGAACTCGGGGAAACCACTTGAAACATTCGTTGTGTTGAGCTATTTCAATTGCTTTGGTTTGATTTGTTCATTGCAAACAACTAAAAGCTTGTAAATTTTGACAACCTTGCAAATATTGACTTACACGGGGGGGAGGGTTGGGTTGAATAATTGTTGAATATCCAGTGGGAATAATGGGAAATCCTTGTAATGGCCGCAGCAGGTTGTTATATTTTGGTTTTAGTCCGAGGGACCCTTTAGTGAAGTAATACTGAGATTCCAGGAGAGTCGGGAGGTCGTCCGAATTAATAAATTCCCAAATGTTTTTTTATTACTTCCTGTCCGGCTTTGAAACCTAATCTGAACCTCCATGCGGAATCTCCATCCCGATCTCACCCTCATCCTGTCAGCAGCCGCCAACAAAGAGCTCTTGTTCTGCCACAAATTCTCTCTCAGACCAGCAGAGAAACTCAAATCTGATGACGACCGACCAGCCGGAACTCGCCGTGTCATCCATTTATCAGCGAGGAAAAGTGGGGACGTGTTTATAGGGATGGCAGGTTTTCATTCACACTCATCCCATGTTTAAAGCCCATTTCCAGTATGTAAAGCCCCATTTTTTTTTCTTCTAATTTTAGATGGAGCAGGGAAGGGGTTAAAATTCCTATGTGCAGTGGCATCACAAGGGGGGTGCGGCCCACACCCGGGTGCCACCATTGGAGGGGTGACACCAAAATGACTGACAGTCATTTTGGTGTCACCACCTATGAAAAGTCGGGCACTCGGTCACGGACCGAGAGCCCGACAGTGTCAGGAGAGAGGAGGGGACCCAGCGGCATACCTTATCCCGAAGGGTGAACATCCCCTCCTCTCTCTGCCGGCGTCCATCACCAAGATGGCCGCCAGCAGGCATCAATAAGACGTCCGCGCATGCGCGATGATGTCACGGCGGGCTGTCACCCGCTCTGGGTGTCACCCAGCCTCAGGATGCCCCTGCCTACGTGTGTCCTGTTTGGGAGATTCCACTTCCTGTTCCAAAGACGCAACAGCAAGTGAAAGAAAATCTCTAGAAAGAAAGAACTGATCACCTCTCACATGGTTGTCAGCAGACAAGGCATCCCATTGTTCAGGGGGCCTTCATCGGGGCTAAAAAACAAACAAACTGATTAAGGTATATGAATGTTAGAGTGTATCTAAAGCAGAAACGTGTTTTAGTTTTGAATGGAGCAAAGAAAGGTGAAGATCCCTGTTGGGTTTTTATTGTTTTTGCCCTCCCTATCTGTCCTGGTCACCTTTGTCACCTTGACCTAAAGGGAGGGAAGATTCTAAAGCTTGAGTTGCCACCAGAACAGTTGGGAAATCTGCCCTCACCTTGTAGAGATTTCCTTTCACTTCCTGATGTGGATACAGCTAAAGGCGCCCATGGACCAGTAGAATTTTTTTTTTTAAATGACGTTTTGAAACATTCTTTTTGATTCTCTAATAGTTAATGGGGTCAGATTGGCCCCCTTGAGAGACAAACAAGATCAGAAGGGGGACTCAGCCCTCCAGACTGCACCTACAACTGAATGGTGAACCGGCTCCCTGCCATCCTCCCTCCCTGATGGTTGAGGGATTTCCAGCCGTTGGGCAGAATAAACAAACTCTGAATTGGTAATAATTCTATGGCACAAGGTTGGGTGAAGCCGGGATTTATGTTCGTATTGTAAGTGTGACCTCTCAGTTATTGCTTGGCCCGGAGTACCGCGCATCGCTGACCCGTTGCTTAGTTTGTTGCCGTCGCTCCGGCTTCTCCCTTTCATTTTGGACTTGGTCCAAAGCAGCCGTATTTAACCCCTTAAAGCGGGGCTGGGCAAGCTGCGTCCCTCCAGCTGTTGTGGAACTACAAAACCCATGAGGCATTGCAAGAGTCTCACAGCCACAGACATGACTCCCAGAGACAGATGCACGATTGGATTTGTAGTATCACCACAGTTGGAGTGCCGAGGTTACCTGGCCCTGTGGTAGACATTCCCCCTGCACTTATAAAGGCCCATTGACGCCAATGCATTGAGTGCTGAATGCGCACTGTATTACGCAGCCTGTTCGTTTTGAATGGGCTACCAAAGCCCTGCAATGCATTATAACCCTGTCTTAAAACATATTTTATAAATGCAAAGCACCGCTACGCGCATACAGTATTCAGTTTGGCACATTTGTTTGGGTAACATCCAAAATGAATGGCACCGCAACACTTTGAACGGCGTTTCTCGCACATGCTTTGTGGTAATGCATGCATTGTTGCAATGCATTCAGCGTGAGCGATCCTGAGGGCCCATTCACATCTTCACGTTTCTGCAACACAGCGCAGTTCATGTGCAGTGGAATGCGAAGATGCATGGGGGCCCTTGGAGGATGGGGGGCATCCAAATTAATTACATTAGCGGGAAGCATGCCACAATACAATCATCATGCAATATTATTGAAACAGAAGCATGTTGCGGCTTTTTGAGAGTTGAGATGCACCACCAGCCCAATTTCCAAGAATGGGCTGCCCTAATTGGCGTGCATTAACGCACAGCAACACGTTAGCACAATGCGTAGTGTGAAACGGGTGACCTCATACGCCCTGTATTAGCAGAAATGCGACTTTGGTCTATTTCCCGCGCTCCGGCCCCCATAGTACAGTGGGTGACATACAGATGGAGGACGAGGCATCAGATTGTCATGATTAAACTGGAGACTTCAGAACATTTAATTAGACAAACGGAATTTCAGCCGCGGCTTAATCTGAAGATCGCCCACTCATTGATCTGTAATTAATGTTCCCTGTCCCCCTTGGCTGCCAAGACTTTATCTTGGCTCTGTCCTTGCCACTCCTGCTGATTCTGGTAACTGGCGCCGGATGCCCACGGGGGCTGTCCCGCCAAAACAGACGAACTCGGTAATCTTAAACCAGATAAGGTGGGCAGATTGGGTCAGGAGCCGCGGTCTGAGGGCTCTGCGCCTCCTGTGGGGGGAAATGTTCGCTGAGGTTTTGGACAAGTGATAAAATGAAGCTAGGAGTTTTCTTTTCCTGAAATGTGACATTCTGGACATGTCACTGAAATGTCACCATTATTGTCAATAGGGAAGGCAGTACTAAGGGGACTATTTATAAACCAGACTATTTATAAACCACTCGCAAAGCCTTTTGCCATGGGAATCTCTGTCAACAATTGTTGTGTGTGAACTTCAAAAATGAACATTCTGGGAAAAAATGTACATTCTCAGTATATTTTCTTTTCAGGTCGGATGTAATGTAATGCCATATTATGGCCACTAGATGAAGCTGAGAAGCATTGGAAAAGATAATTTATTTTGTGTGCTCCTCATCTCCATCTAGTGGCCATAATGTGGTATTACATTACATCACATTCAGCCTGAAAAGAAAAATATACTGACAACGTTCAGTTTTTTGCCTCTATTGGCACAGAATGAACATTCACAGACATTCCCTCTGCAAGTGGCTTGGCGAATTGTTTATGAATAAGGTTGTTTTGGTACTTTTCAATGGGCTTTAAACGGCTGCTGTGGATTGTGGAAGCTCCTTTCACTTATCCTGAAGCTGATCTTGTGCCGAAAAAACCAGCTCCTCATTAGCTGAGGACATGATGAGAGTTGTTGAGGAACAGAGGAGCTCTCACGCAGACCCCAATTCTGTTTGTTTATACACAAAGCCATGTGATTTCAGTATCTTTGATAGAAAGGAATCCATGTACCAGGTTTTGATTTTAAGTGTATGTAAACCCCAAATCTACTTCTCAGTATGTTTGCCATCATCCTTCGCTGTATTCTTTCTTAATCAGATAATGTTTTATTAGTCTGGTTCAAAGTTTTTGGTTTTTTTTTTCCACGTGGAGATCCTGCCAGTAACAGAACTTCCTGTTTTGGGCTGACAACGCTGAGCCGCTGGCTCCAGTTAGCAGCAGTGTTGTCAGCCTGCTGCTTGTACTCCTTCAGTTGGCCATTGGGTTTCCTATCAGGTCTATCAGATAGCCCAGATCGTGCTTGATCAGGTTCTTCTTAACTTTCTGTGGCCAGGGAATGACAGCTCAGAAGACGGAGGCGATGCAATCAGTGTCGCTTCCAGCATCATTTAGTGGGAAGGAGATTCACTGGTCTCCCTTCATGCTGCTAGAAAATGGTTATAAAATGCTTTTCTTTAGCAGAGAAGTGGAAGGCCAGGACCCCTGTCAGATTTGTATTTTTTAATTTATGTCACTGTTGCAGATTTTCTTTCCCTTCCTGTCTGGTAAAACCGTAGTCAGCGGGACAGGAAGTGAAAATAAATCTCTCTAACAAACCCCCGGATAGCAGTAAGAACCTACAGATGTTCTAACTCCTTTCCCACTCGACCAAAAACTAGAAAAAAGGTTTTTGGTTTCACATAGCTCATGCGGCTAACTGACCACGCTGCTGCCAATTGTCAGGCAGTGGCCTCGCGTTGTCAGCCTGGAACAGGAAGTTCGGTTACCGGCAGCATTTCCAGGTTAGAAACATATATAATATGTTCACAAGCATTGTACTGAACTGAAGTGTATTCATCTGATGCTGAACAGATGGTGACATAGATTTAGGGTTTACACACACTTCAATCTTCATATTATTTCTAAGGAAGGCGCGGATGAGGAATGGCGGTATTTCTTGCGTCCTTTTTTTTATTTTTTGCCCCATTCTTTTATCGGATGGCGTTGTACAGCCAGTTATTTTATATTGGACATGGTCATGCATTCATGACTCCCAGACATGATTACTTTCCAAGTCTAGGTGTACCTGCAGTGATGGCAGAAATGCATTCCCAGTCCATGAGAGGGAAGGGTCCAGCATTGCCCGCCTGGGTGGTCAGATTGCACTGTGTGTAATGGTTAGTTGGTGTCCAGAAGCTCAGGAGATGTCTGATACAAGCAGCCGCCGCTGTCATTGTGGGGTGTCTGAGCTGAGGCAGTGATCCAGCAGCCGCCACCAGAAGCTGGGCCTCTGATCCGCTGATCCCCCTGGAGGGGTGCCGGGTCAGGACAGTGAGCGCAGCATCTGCTTCCCTCCCCTCCATCTGCTCTCCATATATGAGACCCGTCCCTATACACAGAGGGCTGACTGCAGCTCTCCATCACCGTTCACTGTCTGCCAGGCAGGATGGCGGGCCCATAGACCGATGAGACCCCGGATCTCACATGGTCACTAATCGCAGAAAAATATGTTTACAATGTTACATTCCCAGCTGATGCAGAGGACAGAGGGGGCAGACAAATCCGACTCTCCATCTCCATCTGACATGAAAGGCTGCAATGTATACACCACGTACCGGGTTACTGAGGCCCAAGAATACAAATACATGTACGAATAAGCATGAAATAATGAAAGGAGTTCTAAAGTCACAGCATACACCAGGGGTAGGCATCCTCACTCAACCTTATGGCACTGCAGCTGTGTTGAAACTACAAATTCTATCATGCCTCTGTCTCTGGGAGTCGTGCCTGTCAAGAGTTTTGCAATGCCTCATGGGACTTGTAGTTCCACTACAGCTGGAGGGCTGAGTTTGCCCACCCCTGGCATATACTATCCAGTTATAACATCAGCATTGTACTAGGAATACATACTAAAGTTGTTTTTTGAGAATGCAATCACAGCACCCTGCCTCAGTACTCCTCAAGAGCCCCCAGCCCTGAAGGCTAGTTTATGCTAATATCACATTGCCTTGATAGGTCAATGTTAGTCTGGTGGAGTAGACATTCTTAGGCAGACATGTGATGCTGAGCCTCCATGATTGAAGAAACTGAAATCCAATGAATAAAGAGAGTGGACCAGGGACTCAGGCTGCGGAGCAAAGTGCTAGATGGTGTTGGATGTACTCCAGCCAGGAAATGAGGCTGACTTGCTGCGGCTTCTGATGCACATTGCGAGAAGCTCACAGCGTGCAGTAACATCAGAGTAAGTGATTTCAGTTCAGGAGAGGAGACGGTACAACTGTGCAAGACTGAAGGGAAGGCTGGAGTTCAGATTTAAACCCATAAACATGGGCTCGGCCATACCATCTCCATGAGGGGTGTATTCCTATGGGGGCCACAACCCTAGACACTGTGGCCCATCCAGGAAATGAGTTGAAAAAAGGGAAATAAATAGCTTTAAGCCCACAGTAATCCCCAGTCCTAAAATGAAACCCCTTTACCCCCAACCTGATCCCTATGAGTAACAAAATAAGTCTGTTTGGCAGCACGGAGGAAGGAATTATATTTTAGGAGGGCAGCTTAACTTCACCCCTAATGGATCGGACTTTCCCTATGGGGCCCCTAGATTACGCATACCCCCCCCCATACCAGAGCTGAACTGATATGTTGTATCTTTGATCCAATATTCTGTCCAATCAGCTGCTTCTGCTCACAGTCCGGGAACAAAACATAAAGGGCACACAACTTGATGTTATTCAGTAACATGTATCCATAACGCGGTTCCCCTTTAAATCCACAAGTTGCCTGCGGGGGGGGGGGGGGGGATTTTTTCCCCTGTTGTAGCCGAGTGTTGTGTAATGGGTGTCAATGGAGCATTACATGCAGCGATGGGAAGGTTCTCATGACTCGGCTCTTGTGGTCGGCACACAGAGGACAGCTTGTGTGTGATGTGAGGAGGATGAGTCAGTAGAGTGTCAGCGCCGGGCCGGCTATGAAATGGGCATTTTACACTTCACTACACACGTGGTCTGACCACAGCTAGATTGCAGGACGTGGTAACATGGAGGATGCTGTATGCTGAGGTACGATTCCACTGACGTAGGCAGGACATGGTGCAGTTTGATTACACTGAGGTAGGCAGGACATGGTGCAGTTAGATTGCACTGAGGTATGCAGGACATGGTGCAGTTTGATTGCACTGAGGTAGGCAGGACATGGTGCAGTTTGATTACACTGAGGTAGGCAGGACATGGTGCAGTTTGATTGCACTGAGGTAGGCAGGACATGGAGCAGTTGTATTGCACTGAGATAGACAAGACATGGAGCAGTTGGATTGCACTGAGGTATGCAGGACATGGTGCAGTTTGATTGCACTGAGGTAGGCAGGACATGGAGCAGTTGGATTGCACTGAGGTAGGCAGGACATGGAGCTGTTTGATTATGCAGAGGTATGCAGTACATAGTGCAGTTCGATTGTGCCGAGGCAGGCAGTAGATTCTGCGGTGTGATTGCAGTCAGATAGGTAGGAGATTCTGTAGTTTGATTACGCTGATGTAGGCAGTACATGGTGCAGTTTGATTACGCTGATGTAGGCAGTACATGGTGCAGTTTGATTACGCTGATGTAGGCAGTACATGGTGCAGTTTGATTACGCTGATGTAGGCAGTACATGGTGCAGTTGAATTGTGTTGGTGTTCAGTTTCAGGACACTTGAAATGAAAGGTAATACAACAAACAAAAGTTGTATTATTTATATGTTAAAAGTGTGAAAACCAGCGATGATAAAACGTTGTTTTACGAGGAAATGCAGATGAGTAATGCAAGCAATGCGTGTGTATAATACAACCCCACAGTGTTCTATGGGTGTAGAAGACATGCACAACATATGGAAAGGCTTCTTTATGGTAAGAGGTGGTGAAAGTGTAGAATAGACGTCCCTAGGAGGGAGTTCTAACCAACTCTGTAGATTGCTGTAAAATGGGCTAGGTATGTTTTTGTGTGCACAGGATATCTGTCTGAACACCACACATGGCTGCACACACAATAACAATC